CACGTAGGGACAATCCAGGTGGACTCTGGCGAGAGGGTATGGAGTGGTAGCAGTGAGGTCAATGATGAAGACAGTTTCTCCGGTGTAGACGATGTTGGGCACAGCCGACTTCAAGATGATCGATTGAAGAGCCGCTGTGTCCCTCAAGATCTTCAATTTGAAACGTCCCTCCGGATTTGAACCGTTGGCAGAGACAGTTCCAGTATACAGGTGGTTACTGAAAAGAGAAAGATCATTAACATTAACACCAACATTCATCACAGGCTTACCGGACTTAGGAGGAGTTGGTTTGGGTTTCTGTGGGTCAGTGGTTCCCTTGTATTGAGACTTACCACACTTGTCTATGGTATGTCCATAGAGTCTACAATACTTGCAGTACAATTGCGAGCCAGCTTGATCGGTGCTCACTTTCTCGTAACTGTACCACGACTTCTTACTGGAGGATGGTTCGGGTGTCAGCCGGTGGATGAGGCTGTAAGTGTCAGCCGACTTAGCACACTTCAGGTAGTCGGTTTCTTCTTTATCTGCTAAGTAGAGACGGACAGGAGGCGGCACACGTCTCAAGAATTCTTCAACTAGCATCAGGTTGACGAGTTCTGTAAAAGTAGAGACATGTGCTGCTTCCAGCCATTTCATGAAATATCTCCGTTTTGTGTTAGCAAACTCGAGGAAGGTAGTGGTACTTGCCTTCAGGTGGTCACGGAATTTCCTTCTATAACTTTCTGTAGAGAGGAGGTAGGCGTCCAACACTGCTTGTTTCAGAGTCTGGTAGTCATTCTCAGACGCCAGAGTACTGAGTGTGACTGCAGCTCTACCTGTAAGATGGACTCTGAGAAGTGTGGCCCATTGGTCGACAGGCCAACTGAGTTGATTAGCAAGGGTTTCAAAGGTGGTGAAAAACACATCAACTTCTGCTTCTACAAAGGATGGCATTAACTTACTTGCATGTGATATATTAAAACTGACGGGAAGATTAGCAGTAGCTTGCTGGCGTTGAGCGAGGTGTGAAGTTTCCAACGTGTATTCTCGTTGACGACACTCTAGAGCCAGAGTCGCTTGTTGCTTGTCATGTTCGCGTTGCATCTCCAACTCGCGTCATTTGGTTTCAAGCTGTACTCGTTCCCGCTCCTGGAGTAGTGCAACCTCACGTTCCTGGAGGGCGATTCCACGTTCGTGTTCTTCTCTCCTCAAAGCAGCTTCGCGTTCTTGTTCTTCCCTTCGTATGGCAGCTGCTCGTTCTTGTTGTTCGATGGCTTCCCTTTGCTGCTCGCGTTCAATCTTGGCCAGCTCTATTTTGAGTTTCATCGTTGCCAAATCAGTTTTATCTGCAATATAGTAAGTTTCATGAGTTTCAGAGTCTATCTTACCTTGCTCTAAATAGTAATCCAGCAACAGGTTGTGTAGGTCATTTTTGTTGGCTTGGTAGGGAACTTCTAGTTGATACTCATGTGCAAGAGTTTGTAATTCAGTCCTCTTGGCACGACTTAGTCCCTATTTCACCTGCTGGATTTGCACGGAAAGCTTGGAGACGAAACATGGTGAAATTAGCAAATAAATATACACGAATATTCAGTTATAGTGAATGTCAGAAACAGGACAACGTGGCAACTGATACCTATCCTGTGGGATCTTTAACAATTAAAGTTAATTAAAAGATGTTAAATGATTAATTTAAATCAAGGGCGCAGGAAATCTTGTACCCGGTACTCGTGTAAGAGGATAAGGGCAAGAAAATCCTACTAACAAATGAAACAGTTTCGAAAACAAATGAAACAGTTAATTGCCTCAAAAGTAAAATTGGTAGTCCAAGGATGTAGGCATACCTTGCCAAGTCTCTATAGGACATAAAGCAAGTTTTTCCTACTGAATTAGTATGATACTTACAGAATTAGCGAACTTTTGTGCTCTGAAAAAGTAAGCTAATTCCCTACCGTTGTATGTATCATCATCTCTGACTGACGTGTAGGGGTGCGAGGTGTCAACTGGTGACGAGAACTGCTGCTGAGGTCCCAATTCAGTAACTAAAGTTCGAGCTAGAGGAACTATGGCCCTCTTTGTCCTCCTACAGTCAGATTGCAGAAGATTGGGTGCACTTGACCCGGGGCAGACCACAGTACCAGGGTACCAATATGATGATCTGTCAAAAATGAGAAATATCCAAGGGACAAAGATGGTAAACAGGAGTAATAACACGGAGGGAGAGATGACCAATTAAGAGTATGACTGCGGCCTACAGTCACCACGTAATCCAAAGTTGTCTCACCTTCACCATATGCTACTCTCGTAATGCACAATACACCGCACCATATAAAAAATGAAATTGAATATGAAAAATAGTAAAAGCTACGTTAACAAAGTTAAATACGCTTACCATTAATTACCACTTGGCACCAGTACCTGAGTGAAGCTCCCGGACAGGCCCCCATATAATATGTGACGGTAACGCGTTGGTGTTCGGCTGTTCAAAGCTAGGGGTATGGCCTCGTCACATAGAAATAAAAAAAAATAGAAAATCTGGAACTTCGTCTGTGGTAAGGTAAGGAGAAGACACACAAGTAAATTTTAACAATGAAATTTTAATTACGTTAAAGAAATTAAAACATGAATAAAATGGACATACAAATTCGTATAATAAAATCAATCAAAGTAATAAGAATAATCAAATGACAAAATGAAAAGTTACGTTAAGACAAGTGAGCAAATAACAAGTTTATGGCAAACAAAGGAAATAGGTGCCGGAATATTGGCTTCAAGCTATCACTTCTCTTAGTACACGTAAGCCTGGGGCTTAGTCTACCAACGAGACGTGTTAACTTGTCGAAAGCACGGGATATTCTGAAGACTGAGGTCGTGGCGGCCCCAGACATCAAGTAGTATGGTGGGTGGAGTGCATTTGCAGCTGGACCCCGCAGCCAATCAGCGACGAGCAGGCGACAAGACAGGTAGTTTGGCGGTTTGAGGTGGAGCAGGTGTTCCTGGCTGCATACGTTTTGCTCTCTGGCAAACCTTGGAGATGTTGTTGTCGTTGTTGGACATTTCTTCCATAGTAGTTTTATATATTTGTTGCGACGTATTTTTGGAGGGAAGAGCAGGCTCAATCTCTTGAAGGAGATTATCGTCACACACGTAATAGTGGCTTTAGGCATTGTATGTACTAGCTCTATCTATTAATCCAACAAACTTTGTAAAATCTCTTTATGTATGTCCCTTACCTAAATAAACATTTATTTATTTATTTATTTATTAAGTTTCTTGGTGTTCTTTTTGCCATTTTCTGTCTCTCCGTAGGTTGTCTTCTATTTCTGATTGGGTTGTTTTGTCCTTTCTTGGCTTTTTCAGGACTGTCATTTGATGCTGAATACTGTCGCCCCGTATCGTGCAGTGCTGGCGCAGCCATTTCACCTTTACCTCAAGATGGATGTCATTTCCAACCCGTTCCGTAGACTTTCTTATGCTCTGTTTCACCTCCGGCCTGCTCATGCTCCGCTTGAGCCATCCTAGCCCTTGGACCAGGTGCTCTCTTTTCTCTCTGCTCCTCAGTTTGTGGTGGCCCTCTTAGTTTAGTTCGTTTGTTTTTCCAAGGCTCTGTGTCTGTTGGCATTGGCTTCTGGGGATCGGGTTGATGAGCTTTGTGCTCTCCTCCAGCGCAGGAGTTTCTGTTCCTTCAGTCCTGGTAGTCAGTTTGTTTGGTTACAGTTGTCGCTTTCTTTTCTGACGAGGAACGAGATGGTGACTTTCCAGTGGGGCCCTTGGGTCATTGATGCTTTGCTGGTCAGGCCGGGGGTGCATCATGTGACGTGTCCAGTTGCAGCACTTCGCCGTTATTTGCGCGCCTTGGCCTCAGTGGCCGGGGACACGCTTTGGGTTGATACGGTTTCCCTCGTTCCTTGATCCAGGGCTCGGGTCTCCCAGTTCTTCCACAAGATTATTTAGTCTAGCCAACCTGCGGTCTATCCTCATACCCATGACATTCTTAAGTTTGCTGCTTTGGCTGCCATGTTTGGCAACATGTCTTGGGCTGACATGCGAGTGCGGGGATTTTAGTGGTCGAACAGGGTCCTGGCCGCCCGTTATTTAGTCAATATTCCTGGTCCTGGTCCTGGTCGTTCGTGTGTGGCTTTGGGTTGCAAGTTGCAGTCAATTGTCTCGACTTTTGAGTTGAAGAGCACGTGGCGGCCGCCTCCCGGGTAAGTCCCTCTTTTATTTATCTTTGGTTATTTAGCGCCAGGGAGCCGACGGGGCTCTCCACAGAAAACCAGCGCCGAACGTAATGAAACGCAATTTTCTGGGTGAGCCTGGAGGCTCCCTGGCACCCTCCCACCCCTGGTCGCCGGTTTCGTTGAGGTTTTGATACTCGGCCTCCGAACTGGAGGTGTGAGTAGCCGGCACCGGGTGTCCAGGGCTTCCCCCTTCCCCAGGGAAGGGGAGTTCTGTGCGGATAAGCAGCACAGCGGCGGTGTATGGCGTTTACATGTTTCCTTGAGTGTTGGGGAAGTTCTGCCTCTGTTTGGTCTTTGGTTGCAATATTCTTACCAAGTGGGGGCTGTTTTGTTATGCCTACCTTTCTGGGTGCCTAACCCCAGTTGATGGCAGACATGGATCCCTAACCACATTAGGCGTTTCAATATGCTATTGCTCCCTGTTCCTCTCTGAGGGGGACAGGTTCTGGCTCGTGGTCCCTAGTAGGCTGAACTCCAATAGACTGATGCCCCAGACTAATATATCATATATCAGTCTGATATCTCCAGGGAGCCTCCTGGGCTCGGTCAGAAAATGTTCCATTACATTCAACGCTGTTTTTTTATCCCCCTTGTTCTTTGGATTGTATGTTATGCAAATGCTTCCATTGGATATATGCCAGTCATTAATGTTTTGATCTCTCTCGGCCTCTAATTCATCAATGATACCTTCTGTCCTAGTTTGGTATGGGTTACAGCTATATTTAGTTTGCTCTTCACAAAGAAAATGGACACATTAACTTTCTTTTAATTTGCCCTCAGCATTTGACACAAGCCTCAACTGGAGCCACAACTGGAGACTGGCTAGTGATGTTCACACGCTCGGACTGCACCACTTGTACTCAGCTACGAGCCACTATTGAGGCAGTTGGTGCCAATTTGAAAAATAAGAAAAATGTTGCACTTATTAATCGTGATAACGATGGTGGCCAGACAACCCGAAGATTTGGCGTGAAGAGTTTTCCTTCTTTCCTTCTGTAAGTACAGCGTATGGATTAGTCAATTAACCTTTTGTAATTATGAATAGTTTTCTGACCATTTACTTATTAGGCTTGTTAATGCATAACTATCATTTACTACCACAGCCATTACTGTCATAACCATCATTATTACTATTAGTCAGCACTAATACAACTACAGTACTGTACTAAAATTGTGGAAAAAGACATGTTATCGCAATAGTGGAACCCCCATTATCCATGTCTTTTTCAGGTTCTTGGAGTATCTGACAGTATAAATATCCACAATTGATGAGAATTTGTCCATCCAGCATTAATTGGACAAACATACGGTTAATGGCAAACCACCCGTATTAACTGGGAATTCTTTGCACCACTTGGCAAGTTATACAAATATCCTGCTGCCTGTCTACATCGGTCTCTGGCCATATTACTACTATGCCGTCCTAAATGTTGTGAAAGGTGGCACACAGATTGGTTATTAATAACTACAACTACAAAGTAACCCTAACTACAAAGAGAGTTATGTCCTGAGAATGTGTTTATAAAGCAGTTGTTTGGAATGCTAAGCGAGATTTTCCGAGATTTCCCATAAATGGGAGATGCGTTCCCTGGCCACCAAAATTTTTCACAAAACCAAAATATTTCGGACATATAAAAAACACAGCATATTATTTACTGTGAATGATGGAGTTGTCCAGCTTGTCAAAGTTAGATGTTGTTGAGGAGTGGAGAGATCTAGTTGATGGAGGAGATGGTGAGAGATGAGCGATGCGTGCGTGGTGGAGGGAGGCAATGCAGCATCAATGAAAGGTGGCGATGCATCAGCGGTGGAGGGTGGTGGTTCATTTTCAGTGTCACTGGCTACATTTGATGTTGGAGGTGATCGAGTTGGTAGGAAACACTGTGGGCCATCATGAGTTTCACTAGGTGCTGTGGAAGTTGATGGTATTGGTCAGACTCTTCTTAGGTTGTTGTTGGCAGTTGATGGTTGATTGATAAGGATTAAGCCACCCAAAAGGTGGCATGGGCATGAATAGCCCGTAAGTGGAGAATCTTTGGAGCCATTACCAGTACCAATAGCTGGAACTAGAGATCTGTGGATGAATAGATGGTGACTTTTTGGGAGGCAATTGCTGGGCTGGAGACTGTTGGGAAATATTTTCTCAAAAGTACTTTGCACAACTGTCTTCTTCTTTTCCAGGTAAATTTGCTTGTAGAGTGTAAGGCCATTAAATATAATTTTTTAATTTTGATATCTCTCTGCATCGTCATCTTGCTCTTTCAAAATTGCCAAACCATCATTCATCAACTTAAATGGCTCTGCTAGTCTCTTGGCTGTGAATCATTTGCTGGGGGTGTCTACGTAACCAACTCATCCGGTAAGCTTCATTTTCAGTCTTTGCTGCCTCCAACTCCACAGGATCTTCATTTGTGAGGTCCTCTGAAAGTCCAATAATTCTTCCACATCTTCATCAACCTCACGGTTTAGATCCCTTGCAATATCATCAATGTTTTCAGTCAGCTCGTGCAATTAATTCTCAAATCCCCAAAAATTATGCACAAATTGAGGACAAACTTTTCTCCAAACGCTTCATGTTAGTTTAACCTCATCCATGATTTTCCCATGTTTCTAATTGCCTTATAAATGTCATAGCCTCACCTTTATTATTTATTCCCACCTAATGAAATAATAGATGGCCCAAAGAATGTTTCAAGTTATAATGGAAAGTGTGAGAAGCATGACTGGGGTAAATTTAGTTGTAAAGAATTGGCAAGGGGCGATGGCCCAAACAAAATGGCGGCCAGGAAGGAAAGATTTTACCTGATCCGGCAAATCATGATACAATAAGAGATAAGAGTGGGTGAAGTGGCAAGCTCACGGAGAATTGGTGACGGTCTTGCAGTAACGTCATCACTGGGCACCGAGTCGGGCCAGCAGATTGACTTAAGAGTCGCTGACCTCACAGTAGCAGACAAGGGCAGACGTTGGCACCAACACTTCAGGAAAATGTCACCAGTTTCGTTATTTGGTTTCGTGATTTGTGTGGCAAGTTGAGCCTTCAAAGGGACACTTCAGCAAGTTTGTACAATGATTTTATGCATGAAGAGGTACAGGAGGACCTGAGAGGATGTTTGTATGGGCAAATGCTTGTAAGGTGAATATTTGTAAAGTGAGAAGGGCCTGTACAAGAATCATAAATATCAATTGGTACATATATATTGTATATAAAATTTATATTTTCATACACAGTACTGTACTGTTATCAATCCATCTTCACTGTTATAAAATATTAAAATTAAACAATGCACGATTTTCTTACGTCAGGTTCTGTAAATATCCCCAAATATATCCATCGGGGATATATTAAATATCCATCGGGGCGTGTGGGTCCGATGGATGTGACCTCGGAGTCTCCCCTCGCTTCATGCGAGTTTGAGGGTTGTTCGGTCCCTTTGTCTCGGAGTGACCCCTCACTGTGTTTACCTCCATCACGCTGCCTGTTGGGTCGGTGACACTTTCGACCCTGAGTCCTGCGAGTTCTGCTGCTTGTTAGTGACTCAATTTACCCAGTCTAGTGATGATCTTATGAGGGTACAGGCGTTGCATGTGCGTTTTAGGTTGTTGCAACGTGCTCGGTTGGTTGCTCACCATGATGCCCCGAGGCTGCCCCGTTTTGCTTATAGGGACTCGGACTTGGGGATGGGAGTTGCTTTGACCTAGGTTCAGTCTTCCCCCCCCCCCATCTGTCCCCCTCCTGTGGTTCATTCTGGTCCCCCACCCCTGCTTCCGGCCCTAAAGCGTCTGAGGGTTTCGGAGCCGGAGCAGGGTTTTGATGGTCTTGAGGCTCGGGCAGTCTCGGGAGATGCCCCTTCTGGTGTGGCGACAGAAGCATTCGAGTCTAGTCTCCCTGCCGAAGCCACCGGGTCTGACCAGTGGGCCCCCTTTTGTTTGGCTTACACGGCTGTGCTGGCTTTGTCTTTTGAGGCCGGTGCTTTGGGAGATGACTCGGCCCCGGGTCCTGCGGAGGAGGATCCCGGGGCGGGAGGAGAGGCTGACTTGGGGGCCTTGGGCCCCGTTGGACCCCACCTGGGTTTTTCTACCCTCTGAGCAGAGCTTGTTACAAGAGTGGGGTTTTCTTTTTTTCCCCCCTCTGTATGATTTGGATTTGGTGTCTGCCCCTCCCCAGGTTCAGTTCCGTGTCTTCCCCGGGTGCGTCGGTTCCGTTCTTCTGGAGGTTTTCGGCTCCTCACATCCAACCTTCTGCGGTGTGGGCAGCCCTTGCAGCTTGCCTCCTGCATGACCCCGGATTATGCCTCGGTGATGAATCCGTCTTTGTTCAGGTTTGGGACTTTGTTCCCTTTCTGGGTCCATTACGAGGTTCTGGAGTCGTCCCGACTGGCGGACTGTCCTGTCTTTGCCTTGAAGGCTTGGCATTATTTCTGCCATACCTGCACACTTGAGTGGCGTGAGGTTGCGACAGTGGTTCAGGTTTTCCTGGGGGGCAACCTAGAGCGCCTCAATGAGTGCTTGTTTGCCCCCCCCCCCCCCTGCCCTTTCCCGGGATGTGGGCATGGTGCAGCTCCATGTGCAGGTTCCCTCCCTCTCGACTGCGCAGGTTGCTGAGGACATGCGTGTCCGTGGCCTTTTGGCTTCAACCTTGCGTTTCCTTTCCCTCCTGGAGCTGTCTTCGAACTGGCTTGAGGAGGATGTAGGGGCGCTCGGGGCCGTCTCAGGGTCTGGTGCCTTGTGCTCGGCAGCCTGCTCGTCGGCTGCCTTGCTGAAACTGTTTGCACCGATCCTGAGGGATGTGGTTTCCCTGTTCTATGCTTCCTGGCTCGCGTGTCGGCAGGCGGTGCTTGCCTGCTCCCTGGAATCGGCCTGGGCCCTGGCTCTTAGGATGTCTTCTCCTTTTTGTCCTCTGCTTTTTGAGGATTCTGCCGTGGCGCAGTATATTCAGGCTGGGGTGGGGGGGGCCCTTCATAGCTGGCCCTTCGGCTACTTGTTGGCCTATGTCTGACTTGTTGGTTCTCCGGGGGTTCCGGGTGGGGTGGGACCTTCCCAGAGGGTTCCTCTCGTGATAGGCCACAGGTGCCGGGTTCGGCCACCTTCGGTCCCGCCTTCATTGGGTCGGCGCGGTGGTCGCTCTGTGCGAGGTTCTGGGTCTCGTAAGGGGCGCCGGCCCTTTCGCGTTTCGCCCCATTGATGTGGCGATGGGGGTGAGGCTTGCACTGTTCGCTCACGCTTGGCCCCATGATTTGTAGGCGTCTCGGGTCGTTTCTCTTGGCCTGCGGTGGCGTTGGGTGGCCCCCCTCCTCTGGGAAGTTCGGTGCTGATGAGGCAGGCCTCTTCCCCTGTGTTCTGTAAAGTCCTCTTGGAATGGGTTCACTTGGGCGTGGTTGAAATGACGACGTCCCTCAGATGGGTTTCTCATCTGTTCCCAGTACCAAAACGGGACTGTGCGGACATGTGGTTCATTCTGGACTTGTCCTGTCTGAACCCCTGGGTTCATTGCCCCTCCTTTCGTATGACTACGCTATCCCAGGTTCAACTCCTGTTGGAGCCGGGCACTCGGATGGTGTCCCTGGACTTCTGGGATGCTTATTGGCACTTCCCAATTCATCCGGGGTTCAGGGACTGGCTCGGGTTTGTTGTGTGAGGTCAGGGTTACCGCTTTCGTTGCCTCCCATTCGGGTTGAACCTGGCACCTCGCGTGTTCACACGCCTTACACGGGTTGTAGTGGCCCGTCTGTGTCTCTTAGGTGTTCGGGTGTTGGCCTACCTCGACGACTGGCTAGTTTGGGCTCCCAGCTGGTCCAGTTGTATGCTAGCCAGGGATTTGGTTCCTAGCTCGCCGGGTTCGGGTTCTTAGTGAACTGGAGGAAGTCCCATCTGATTCCCTCCCAGGGTCGAACATGACTGGGTCTTGTGTGGGACTCTTGGACCGCTTGCTTGTCTCTCCCTCCGGAGTCTCTCCTGCGGTCTCGCTTGCGCCTGTTCCTGGGGGGCTCCCGGGTCACCCTGCGGTTGCTCGAGGGTCTGTGCGGGAGCCTGAACTTCGTGATGGTCTACCTGCCAGGTCGGGTTTGGCTTCGGCTTTGTCAGCTGTTCTGGTTCCTTCGGGGACGTCCCTTCCGCCTCTCTTGCCATCGCTGGTTTCGGACCCCGGGGGCCTTGCGTCACCGGCTTCCTCTTCGGGTTTTTCAGGGTTCAGTGCCTTGGCGCCTACCCGAGCCCTCACTCGATGTGTTCACAGATGCGTCGTCTCTCGGCTGGGGCTTTGTGACCAGTGCTCACCAGGCTGGTCAGGGACGGTGGGACCCGTCCTTCCGTCGAGCCCACAGCACAGTGCGGGAGTTCGTGGTAGTGTGGTTTGCTCTTCGGAGGCTTCGGGTCGCCCGCGGACTGCTCCCCTGTGGTTCATTGTCTGAACCGAGGGAGTTCGATGCGGTCCTTGGCTCTTTGGCGCTGGTCGCTTCGGGTGACTCGTCTGCTGAGTTCTCTGGGTTTGGCTCTCCTGGCAGTTCACGTGCGAGAATTGTCCAATGTCTTGGCTGACGGCCTGTCATTTCGTTCCCCTCTCCACGGAATGGACGGTCGACACCGACTCCTTCAGTTGGCTTTGCCAGACGTTCGGTCGCCCCGAGGTGGACCTCCTTGCGTCGGTGTGGTCGCGGCGCCTTCCCCTGTATGTGGCGCCCTTCCCCGACTGCGAAGCCATCGGGGTTGATGCCTCTTGGCAGGACTGGTCGAGGTGGGGGTTCCTGTACCTCTTTTTCCCGGTTCAGCTGTTGCTCCAGGTCCCGATTTGCTTGGAGACTTACCAAAGGAGAGTTGTCCTCTTGGCCCCGTGGTGGCCGGCCCATCCGTGGTTTTAGCCGCTGCTTGCTAGGTGTCCGAACCCAGAGGCTTTCCCACGGGTCCGCCTCTTCCTTTCGGACCGGATCGTCACGTGGCTGGTTCGATCTTCTCCACGAGTCTTCGCGTATGGTATTTTTTACTCTAGTTTATCATCATCTCTCTGGTGATCAGGTGGCTTCCTTGTTAGTGTCCCACCTGCAGGCTTCGTCTCGGCAGCAGTGTGAAATTTCCTGGCGGTCCTTCCGTTTCTTCTTGCGTCTTCGTCATTGTACTTTGCTTTCTGTTAGGGTGGTGTTGTCCTTTCTTTCTTGGTTGTTCCAAGATCGTCACCTTATGCCCAACACTGTCGCCTCGTATCGTGCTACACTGGCGGAGCCGCTTCAGCTTGCTTTCGGTATTGATGTTACTTCTGTCCTGTTTCGCAAGCTGTCTCATGCATTGTTTCACCTCTGGCCTGCTCATGCACTGCCTGGTCTTTGGACAGAGTGCTCTCTCTTCTTTTTTCACCTCGGTTTGTTGTGGGCCCTTTCGGTTCAGGATTGTTTCTCAAGGCACTTTTTCTGTTGGCATTGGCCTCTGGGGGTTGGGTTGGGGAGCTTCATGCTCTCCTCCGGCACAGGCGTTTCTACTCTGTCCGCCTTCGTGATGGTTTTGTTTGTATGCAGCCATCTCCTTTTCTGGCGAAGAATGAGACTGCTGTTTTCCGGAGGGGTCCCTGGGTTGTTGATGCTTGGTTGGTCAGGCTGGGGGTGCATCATGTTTTGTGTCCGGTTGTAGCTCTTCGCCGTTATTTGTGCGTCACTGTAACTTATGGTACCATCGGGTCCTGTTGTATGCGACATATAACGCCATGCGCAGTTTAAGGGTTAAGGGTTAATCCTAATATTCCCAGGAATATGACACGCCAAATCATTTGAGATATCGAGGCTTGGGCCTGGGGAAAATGTTAGATGGGGTTAAATATCTTTACAGAGGGTCTTGTGGTTGTCCTTCATATGAAACATTGAAATTATAATTTTGCTTTATGAAATCAACCCATAGAGCATGGGAAAAATTAGGTATGAATGATAATTAATATTGCCCAATCATGTTTTTAATGATTTTTATTTGGCACTTCTCAAGAACTTGGGAACCGTTAATCATATTTAAAATCTTTCTGTGATTTGTTTTCATTTTGAGATTCCCTAGTTTTCGTTCACAAAAGCGTCCTTTTTCTTCTGAAAACAATGTTCAAGGCTAGTGCATGGGAAATATGCAAGATGCCATTAAATTTCTTTAACAGACTGGTTCTCTTCGTAGTTGTCCTTCATATGATAGGTTGAAATTGTAATTTCGCTCATTGAAAGCAGCCTATAGAGCTTGGGAAATATTAGGGTATGAATGGTAACCCTTAATATGGCTCCAGTTATGTTTCTGATGATTTTTGTAGATGGACAGAACATTAACACTTTCAGCGGCCTGGCTCGCGCTCCCCACACCCTCCCAAGGTGGACCGAGCATTTCTCATGGATGGTACATGCCAAAATTTACCTGTTTGTCAGTACATTCTCATTGCTGGCAACTTCATAATGCCCATCAACATTGTAAGTCCAAAATATCTAGCAAGCTCTTTTACCCTCGCTTCATCTCACTTATTGCTCAAGTTGGATGCTTGAGAAGCATTGGTGTTGCTTTGTGATGCATACAAATTTGTTTCATATACCATATATTTCGGCAAATCTCGCGTAATAAATAATTGTAAAAATCCCCGAGCGGTGGTTGGTACTGGTACAGTCAAGCCTGGTGTTCCAGTAAAACTGTCTTCAAATGGTGGAGTGTTGTCAGTAGACCAGGCTTCAACAGAACTGGTGTGTGGGGTACGAGCACACCCTGCACATGTGGCTGTGGGGGTATCACCACCAAAATCATCACTCCCCTCACTTTCAAATTCATCCTCACCTGCTGTTTGTTTCAATAAACTTACTATCTACATCAATGTCACTTTGGGCACTTTCAAGATCAATTTCAGATAATTCATCACATAGAGTATAGCCTGGAAATTTGTTGGTCAGTTTGACCTTGCTGTACTTTTGCCGCACACTACAGAACTTGGCTTGTCCCTCAGACGTGTTTCTTTCATGGCTTTCGTCCTGGAATGGCACTGTTCTTGATCACTATCCATCTTGCAGTAAATTTATAGTATATAAAGGCATAACAAATACAGCTGAGGAGTAATAGCCAGAACGGGCACACGTGTTGGAGGCGAGGGGAGGCCGCAGCAGTCATAAATCACAGTACAATACCAATGGGCCTGCGGTCACAGGCGGTGCCTTGATGCCACATGGGCCCATAACAGAAAATGGAAAGACATTGCCACAAAGTTTAAAACATTTCCCATAATGAGCGGATAAAAAATGGATTTTTAAAAAATACAGTATTTTAATTTTAGATGTCAGCAACGTCCCCAAAGAACATCTGCAGAGTTATTTGTGGATGTCACCTCTGTCCCTAAGGAATGAAAGTGTTAAAAGAAAACGTTGGAGCCTTGGGAAAATTATTGAAGATATTTAAAACAAAATTCAATGGTTTTTCATTTCAAGTTGGCAATGTTTTTGTTCATTCAGGTATGGTCCTGCTACCTTTTGAAAACTATTTTTGAGGCTGGGGAAATGAAAAATAAGGTAGATATCATAAAAAAAATGCAGAAATGTTTACTTTGTAGTTGTCTATACTGTGTTACAATATAGTGTAACTAGCCCATACAGTGGGAAATGTGTCCTAAAGGCATCTCTAGTTGCAATGAATCCCTTACTCTAACGAATTGGGGTTGGTCTCGTATAGTTTATTAATCTAGGTTGTACTGTAATTGGTAAATGTGTGAGGAAGAAAGTTAAAGAAACTCCTCACAAACCTTAGTGAGAAGGAAAGGAGAAATATGATCACTAGTACATGCAATATATCAAGGAGAAGAGAACGTTTAAAAAGAAGTGGAAGTTGAATATACACTTGGGTCATAGAAATGTAAGGATATTCTTGTAACTTGTATGGGTGAGTAACAAGTGGGATTCATTGACAGTAAGAAGTTTGCACTTCATCCGCATTTTTGAGAATAAGTATGACACAGAACTTTAACATCAATAAATGTAAAGTGATCACAGAGTGCAAAGAACTTGGAGACAGAACATTGCACTAAATCCCACCATCCCCTAACCCCATATATACTCCCTCCCCCATATATACTCCCTCCCCCATATATACTCCCTCCCCCATATACACTCATCCACCCCTCATGCTTTCAATCCACATCAAACTTTGCAAACAAACAAACATTGTCAGATTTAGATTTGTTATTTACTGGCTGTTACGATGTCTTTATCTAGCCTGTTGATTAAGGAAACAAACATCATTTTTTTTTTCTAGAAAATAGTTTTAATTGTAGTTAAAAGTTAATTTTAAAATTCTGTAATGTATTCTCATTATGGCACTGTGAATGGTTTTTAGGTTTAGACAGGGTCGTGTGTACCGGTACAACCTGCCTGGCGTGGACGTGGGTTCCCTAGCAGCATTTGCTCAAGAAGGCTTCAGAAATGCCCGGGCAGAAGATATTCCACATCCAAAAACACCATTGTGAGTTAATTTAAGGAATTCAATCTTTGTCAGGGTCGTGTGAAATAAATGGACTAGTGCTTGATAGAGCATGGATGAATGATAGTGTCAACTGGGATGACAGTTTTCAGTGACTACGAGTGAGGGACGCAGTTTGTTTTGAAAGGAATGACTACATAACTCAGAATTATTATTTATTACTGTGTATGATATGGCAGAAATGTGGCTGTAAAATATTTATTTGTGCGAGGTGATACAGTACCGTGCTAGTTTTCCCCATCATTCAAGTGTGCAAATTGGTAGGACAAGTCAGCTGATGCTTGGTGTGTTAGACCCTCTTGTTTAGTTGTTAGCCCGTACTGTCCAATATTACAGTGCCCTATCTTTGTTGGTGGGGTCGTCCACGACATATATAAGCAAGAAACTGCTAGTTAATCAGCGTTTGTACATAATGAAGAGTAATTGCCGAAGTGTAGTTATGAGGTAAGAGCTATGCTTGTGGTATTTTATCTTCTCTGTCATTTGATGACATTTTGATGTTTACAATGGTTTTGGCATACACTTCTCATTGATATTTTTTTATCTACTAATGCAAAGGATAATTTTAAGCTTTTTGCTACATATTTCTTACTTTTTTTTTTATTTCTTGTGGCTGGAGTGTTTTTTTTCCCTCCCCACTCACTCTCTCCCTTCTTTTCCCTCCTTCCATTCTTACTTCATTTTCCCTCCATCCTTCCTTCATTTTCCCTCCTTACCTTTTCTTTCCTTTATACTTTCCCTCATTTCCTTTGCTTTCCCTCTCCTCTCCTTGCCTTCCTTTCATTTCCCTCCTTTCCTTTTCCCCCCTTTCCTTTTACACCCTTCCCTTTCCTGTCTCTCCTTCACTTTTCTTTCCTTTATCTCCTTTCCTTCCCTCCTTTTCTTTTCTTTCCTTCCCTCCTTTCTTTTCACTCCCTCCTTTCCTTTCTTTTCACTCCCTCCTTTCCTTTCTTTTCACTCCCTCCTTTCCTTTCTTTTCACTCCCTCCTTTCCTTTCTTTTCACTCCCTCCTTTCCTTTCTTTTCACTCCCTCCTTTCCTTTCCCTCTTTTCCTTTCCCTCTTTCCTTTCCCTCTTTCCTTTCCCTCTTTCCTTTCCCTCTTTTCCTTTCCTTCCCTCCTTTCTTTTCCTTTCCTTTCCCTCCCTCGGAAAAGCACGAGTGGCCAGTGATACGCGAGTGCCTGATAGTTAATCGAGAGTGGTTGATGGGTAATTCCTTTCAGACAAAATATTATTTGTTTGTGAATTATTTCTTCAAGTGTGGGTTTGGACGTCAGGCCATGTAGGAGAGTGCAATGAGTGCCAGGATGGACTGCAAGGATATGTATAGAATTTCTGACATCCACAATTAAGCTTGCCAAGATCAGCATGTTGTAGGTCCCATAGTATGCATCTTTACAAGGTTAGACATTGACTTAAATACTTTTACTTTTGACCAGGTTTGCATTAATACTGGTGAATGATTTACTGAAATTAGTGTTGTACTGTATAATATGGTACTTATAAAAAGGTAAATGCTTTTGTTCATAATTAGGGATGTAATTATGGTTTATTTTGCTTTGATATAGTTTATGTATAATGTGTTATAGGTTGGAAATACAGTAGGTTAGAGTATTTAAATATATTGGCGTTACATTAATTCCAATTTTGTCTTCAGCGATGACTACACTGAATGGTGTGCGGACTGGCTGCGGGAGAACCCAAGTGCTGTATATGCTATTGGCATTGTATTTATTGTTCTTATATTGTTGGTTATAGTCACTTCACTGAGGTCATCTAAAGCCTCCTCCAAAAAAGAGAGCAAAAAGAAAAAGTAACATGTGTAAAACTTGGTCCTCTTTTATATACATATATTTATATGTATGTAGTATGTATGCATGTGTGCAGTATATTTATGTATACAAATGTCACACAATTTGAACGTTGTACATTTGATGAGGAATATTTGACAAGTTTATATGTTTTTGATATTGAATATTGACATTATGGATAGTTTTTTTTATAAGAGTTTGAATAGATTGTGAGACCATGTGAAGATCTTGATTAGTAATAGTGTATTGGAGACATAATCTTGACTCGGAAATGTATAAAAACCAAGATTTTCAGGGCTTAAGTTTTTTTTATTAGGTAGCCATATTGATAAAATAAAACCAAGTATTCATGGCATTGCACTTCGTGTAACTTCATAGTGATTTCCTTACCAATAGGCATACAGTATTTGTTTCTGAGAATAGTGAGTATATACATTATTTTATACATCATTTGCATGTTTCATTTGAGCAATATGGGCATATCTTTCTGTATCAAGAAATTTATTGCAAATACATTGAACTTTCCAGTTGTAGTTGGTGCCAAGTAGTTTGTTGTAATATAGAACTATAAAGTATTCACAAATGTTAAAATTGTTTAATTACAAAAAAATTAATGGGATACTTTTGTGGATGTGACAATGCAATTGGCTGTAAAATATATAAGGAATATGCTGTATTGACACCCATGCACTTTTTTTTTTTTTTTTTTTCTCAACTAATTCAAGATGTATCCTGAGTAGTGTGACTGACTTGCATTGTGGAGGTTTCTGTTTTAATCTTAATGTATCCTGTTGCCAAGGTCCCATCCAGTTACTGATAAGCTTTTGTGGTGCTTAACCCAACTGGCTGGATAACACGCACATCCTCAGCACCATGCCAGTGGCTATTGTGTGTACCTAAGTTTTCATTTTGAAGTGAGGAGAAGAATCTAAAAGATTCTGGTATAGTGTCTGTAATTTCCATTACAGGAAATGGATATTTAAAAGCCTTCAAGCCTAGGGAAACTTTTTTTTTTTTTTCTACCTAGTTTAACAGGTGTGTTTTTTGCACATTCCAGAGTAGGTGATGGTTGTCTGTTGTAAATTGCAGAAAATATATTTTGTTAAAATTACTTCAATGTTTGATTACCCTTGTTACCCTACTGTAGTACAGTATTTGCTGTTACATGCTGTCATTGTCAGTGGGAAGGGGCTTCCGTATAATTTTACATGCGTGTGTGTATACGTACATTTGAATGTGTCCATCTGTATCTAAATACCATGTATATAAGCCATCCATCTTTTCCTCATCCTCTCCTTTATCTTTCAACTCATTTTCTATCTTCACTTCCTCACAATCTCCTCTCATTCTTCCCTCCATATCTTTCTTCCTCTGCCTGTTATTCCTCATTTTCCTATACTCTCAACCTCCATTCCTCCCTCCCCTCTCTTTTGTCTCTCAACCTAGTATGTTATAGCATGGAACTCAACAGAAAATTGAATATTCATAGAGTAACTAGTCTTAAGTTCTAATAAACAAGTGCTGATCTCGTTTCTAACAAAGAGAGTGAGGTTATATCGCTGATAGAGATAATTACGCAGTATTTCCCAGATCATTGAAAGAATACACGTGAATAGTGTTGACCTGCCGATTAATGATAATTGGAAGGTTGAGACAGTTGCAGACATTTGGATATGAAGGCTGTGCAGGAACTATATTAGAAGGTAGTTATCTTGAGATGATTTCGGGGCTTTTTTAGTGTCCCTGCGGCCCGGTCCTCGACCAGGCCTCCAGCCCCAGGAAGCAGCGCGTGACAGCTGACTAACACCCAGGTACCTATTTTACTGCTAGGTAACAGGGGCATAGGGTGAAAGAAACTCTGCCCATTGTTTCTCGCCGGCGCCTGGGATCGAACCCAGGACCACAGGATCACAAGTCCAGCGTGCTGTCCGCTCGGCCGACCAGCTCCCCCGGTCGTGGCAAAATATTTGTAGCAGTTGTGTAATACCTGCCAGTAAACAAGGGAGGCATGAAAGTAATGCAGAAACCCCGATAAATGAAGCAAATTTCTCTTCACTCATCAAAGAGGAAATGAGAGCAAGAGTGTATGGACCTTCTTCACCCGAGATGTACCCCCTCCCTGTCCGGCCCATTGTTGCCTTGAGGGGACTTGGTGGGTGACTGCGAGAGTGTGATGCTCCATGGGCCAGTTCTGTCCTTTTGTGGCCTTATGCTCCTGCTGCTGTCCTCACAAATTCTGCTGGACGACGTTTCCTCTCCACGAAATGTTTCATTTTTCTCTCCCCCCCTTCCCCCCCCCCCCCCATCTTCTCCTTTCTAATTGTCATTTCCCCGCCGACCTTTTGCCTGTTATTATTATTCTTTCGGCCTTCTTTTGTTTTGATGCCCGGGTGTTTGAGGAGGCATACTCTTGCACCGGTAGAACTGTAGTACCCAACATCTCGAGTGAGGGGACCCTTTTATTGTCAATCCTCCTTTCATCACTGAACCCGATCTCGACGGACTGACGGTTCTTAAGGTGGCGTTTGTAGGGCATGTACTCGCGATGCACCCTGGGGGCCCCATCAAGATCGGCAACATGTCTCTTGTTGGGTGTCTTTTCCTCTAATTGTGGCTTCGTGGTGGGTGTGGGGGCACATTAGTGAATGAAAGTCTTTCCTCTCGTCTTTGTCCAATACTGTTCCTCTTATGACTTTTCAGGCTCGTGGGGTGGGCGACCAAGCCCCCGAGTTGGACTATGTTGGAAGACCAGGCTCTGTAGCCCCCGCTGCACTGGGCCCCGACATTACTCGTCCTTTGACCCTCCTGACTACTCCCCTTGGCTCCCCTCCCTCCTCTGTGGTTGGGTCGAGCCACAAGCCCCCAGTGGTGACTACCTCGTCCCCTGGCACGGCTCACTCTCTCATGGTGACTACTGCACCTTTTAACCCCTCTCTCTGGGGGTTCTCAATGCCGTCCACGCCACGGCCACACTCGCTCGATTCCTTTCCGTTCTGATGCGTACCAATCCTTGTTTGGTCCTGCTTCATGGGCCAAATACTTTAATCTCCTCCCTCTGGATTCTACACCTGACGATTTCTCCCTCCATAGGCACCTTGTTGATTCCGTAGATGCCTCTGTTACTTTCAACCCCACCCGTCTCGGTACGCGTGTCGTTGCTGCTGCTCCTCAGGATGCGGCCACCCACTTGGCCGCCTTATCCTGCCTTGGTAAGACCCCTGTTCGGGTCTCCAAGAACGCTTGCTTGAATGCCAGTGGACGGAGGACGGGCTGCTGTGGGGTTGACCGCTGAATGTAATGGACTTGAGTCGAGGATGGGTTGCGTTGTGATTCGAACAAAATTCGTTAGTGAAGCACTTGTTCCGGATATGTTCGAACGTCAGCAGTTGAGTCGTGTGTAAACCGCTTTTCATTCATAAACAGGGGGTTTGGCGGGTGCATGGAATCACTTTTGGATCTTTGTTTGGAGGACGGGCTGCACAACGCTATAAATGCTTCACCCACGTACTACAAATACAAATAATCGTCAACAGAACCTAAACACCTAACCTAACCTACGCCTATGTATGCACAATATGCTAATATAATATTAATTTATATTTGAGAAAATTCCTGTTTGGAATGAACAGTATGTTAAAATTTATGAATGCGTCTGTGGGGTCGACCGCTGGATGTAATGGACTTGAGTCGAGGACAGGTTGGGAAAACTACGAGGATGAAATTAGGTACTTTTTGGTGTTATTTTTGAATAAGGGGGTAGGTTGGACAGCTTTTTAATTCGTTAGGGATAGAGTTCCATAGACTAGGTGCCTTTATTTGTAGTGTTTACACAGATTTACCATGCGAGTGTACTTGTATACCATGGAAGATGATGCAGAAGATCGTGAGGAAAAAGCTCGTAGAGCATCTGGAGAGAAATAGCTTTGTAACACACCACCAGCATGGGTTCAGATTTTTTTTTTTTTGGGGGGGGGGGGGCAGGGATATTCCAGCGTGGGCCCTAAGCCTCTGGCTGGCTCACAAAGTGTTGTTTGTTTCTGTTTTACTTGGGCGGAGTATTAGTACTTATAACTCATATGGTCGCTTCAGTTAGATTTTGCCCCATGTGTTTAACAACTTCTTCTGCTCTGTTGAATCTAAGTTGAAATCTTAATGAGTTTGTAACTGTGCACTATTAGATAATGATCCAGTGGTCGGTTGGGCATTTCTCCGATAAATTGCGCCTCACAGGTTTAATAGAATTCTGACCAAGCAATTCTGACCTCTTGGACTGTCGGCAACCCTTTGACACAGTACCCCATAAAAGGCTGTTACAAAAGATGGAGCAAAGGTAAGGTGCTCCAGTGGATAAGGGAGTATCTAAGCAACAGGGAACAGCGAGGAACTGTGAGGGGGGAGACATCAGAGTGGCGAGATGTCACCAGCAGTCCCACAATGCTCTGTACTTGGACCCATCCTGTTTCTAATATATGTAAACGCTCTTCCAGAGGGTATAAACTCATTCCTCTCAATGTTTGCTGATGATGCAAAAATTATGAGAAGAATCGACTGATGAAGATAGACAGAGACTACAGGACGACCTGGACAAACTGGAGGAATGGTTTAGAAAATGGCTAGTAAAGTTCAACTCAGGAAAGTGTAAAGTAATGAAATTAGGCGAAGGGAGCAGAAGGGTGAACACAAGGTACCATCTGGGAGGTGAAATCCTGCAAGAGTCAAATAGAGAGAAGAGTCAAATAGAGAGAAAGATCTGGGAATTGATATGACAACGAACCTGTCCCCAGAGGCCCACATCAAAAGGATATCATCAGCGGCATATGCTAGGTTGGCCAACATAAGAACTGCCTTTAGAAACTTGTGTAAGGAATCGTTCAGGACCCTGTATACCACTTATGTCAGACCAATCCTGGAATATGCAGCTCCAGCCTGGAGTCCATACCTAGTCCATACATACCATACACAAGGCAAAGTTAAAGAAGATTCAGCGGTATGCCACCAGACTGGTCCCGGAACTGAGAGGTATGAGCTTACGGGGAAAGGCTAAAAGAGCTGAACCTCACGTTCCCGGAAAAGAGAAGAATAAGGAGAGACATGATAACCACCTACAAAATTCTCAGGGGAATTGACAGGGTGGATAAAGACACTCTTTACCACGGGTGGGACACGAACTAGGGGACATAGGTGGAAACTTAGTACCCAAATGAGCCACAGAGACGTTAGAAAGAATTTTTTCAATGTCAGAGTAGTTAACGGATGGAATGCACTAAGAAGTGATGTGGTGGAGGCTGACTCCATACACAGTTTCAAATGTAGATATGATAGAGCCCAGTAGGCTTATGAATCTGTACACCAGTTGATTGACGATTGAGAGGCACAACCAAAGAGCTAGAGCTCAACCCCCGCAAGCACAACTTTGTGAGTACACACACACAGCTGTCTGTCACGTACATAACTGGAAGAATGCGCAAGACCATCATGGAGGAGAAATTAGCAGGAGTGAAAATCAGTGTTGGAGACGCGGGTGTGCAGCAGGCCACAGGTGGGAGAGTGCAGGGAAAGTGTGCAAGGTGTTCATGACAGGTTCTCACAGTAGGGCGGGCAGGCAGCCGGCTACGGTGAACCACAAGTAACTTGTCCCCACAGTCACTGGCTTGTAACGATATCAGCGACGGACTACTGTGTGGTACCCTGCAGTAGTTATACGGCTCCGAGTTAATGTGTTGATCCTCCTTGGTAGTGATGATTACTGCGGTCAATATTTGTAGTGTCTGACTATCTGGCTATATCTGCATGACTACAGTGAACAACTGTTGCACTGAAGCTACCCCCCCCCCATCATGCCTAATTATGGCGAGTAAGTGTTGAAAGGACAGTGCTGGTGTCTACATTAATTACCTAAGTGTAGTTACAGGATGAGAGCTACGCTCGTGGTGTCCCGTCTTCCCAGCACTCTTTGTCATATAACACTTTGAAACTACTGACGGTCTTGGCCTCCACCACCTTCTCACATAACTTGTTCCAACCGTCTACCACTCTGTTTGCGAAAGTGAATTTTCTTATATTTCCTCGGCATCTGTGTTTAGCTAGTTTAAATCTATGACTTCTTGTTCT